AAACTCCTCCATCAGAAATGCGGCCGTTCGTGCCTACATCAACATATATAAATTGGTATTCAGCATTGACAACTGCCATAAGAACAATACTATGAAAGCCTTTGTAATTAAAAAAATGAGATCCTGCGCCAGGAGGTGGAATTATTTTGACATGTTTGCCATCTACTGCACCAAGACAATTAGGGAACTGCCACTTGTTTTTAAATTGTTCAGCTGTCATTTTCATCTCTTCTATATTATCAGGAAACTGAAACAAGAAAAAGAAAAATAACTAATATTATTTGTTTGATTGCAGATATCCAGTCCACCCCCATCGGTTAATTCTGTGCCTCAACTGCCATCTCAAACTCCATCGCCATCTACTACACCTGAACTTCCATCATTTTCACGAAAACGAAAAGACGACACTTCCAATCAGATGTTTCGTTTAATTACACAACGACTCAGCCAACAAGAGGATGACTTTGATATTTTTGGCAGAAACGTTGCTAGTAAACTAAGGACAATGACTACTGAACAAAAAATTTTTGCTGAGAAACTCATCAATGATGTGATTTTTAATGGACAAATAGAACAGCTTTCTATTAATTCAGTAATTAATGTGATCTGACAATTTACATACGAACACTAATTATAATTTTAACAATCAACCATTATGTAAGCCTGCTCCTGCTCCAGTAAATACCAGTACCAGATCATCCATTTTTACATCCACAGCTACAACACGACCACAATATCATGTTCTGACAGCAACAGATGATCAACAGATTAATACGCCTGCGCCAAAAAATTTTACATCCATAGCCACAACTTAAGCACAATTTCAAGTTCTGACAGCCACAGATGATCAACAGTTTAACCCAGAAGACTCGAATAGTTTGGCGTATTATGTTTCTAATTTTTCAACTTAAGTTCGTTGTTGATGATAAGTATTAACTTGGTACTAAAATCTTTAAAATATTTTTGTACTATGCTGATTTACCTACTGAAAAAATAATAAGCACAAATAAATATCTTACCTTCATATATTCGTTTTTTAATGCACTGTAAATAGCTCTGCATGTCTCTGGAATAATTCTTCCCAATGTTTGCCTGGATATCAAAGTAGAATACTGCAAACTGCTTTGGGTTTTACCTTCTGCCAGGTATCTAATTGTAGCACTTAAACGTTCATGAGGAGAAATAGCCTCTCGCATTATAGTGTTTTGTTTTCGTATTATAGGTGTCACTAAAGACAACAATTCGTTGTATGATTCCTCAGACATTCTCAGATAATTTCTGTAATCCAGTGGTTCTGCCAACAATTCTTGAATTAAATGGGTATGCGACAATTCTTGCCTCTTTTCTATCCAACTTTTAACCCAAACTAGGGCGTTTTCGTTTTTTTTTCATGATTTCGTGGTATGCTATAGCGAGATAACACAAAGCTTCAGACTCCGAACAAGACATGTTAACTCAGTTATCGCTCAGACACGACTTGTTGCTCGCTAGTCTATCAGCACCAATGAGCTGCGAGTAAAACCGTCGTTCTTTAAAACCGCGGTATAGGCTCGTACGTCGATCACCCACTTCACACAACAAAAAAATCATGCTAATTCAAAAAGACATCATTATCATTCCAATATGAACTGCACCCAAACCAACCTAATTTGGTCGCGTAATATTTACGTACGGAAGGGATAACAATAGCCGCGTACCCACCTAGCGCACAGGCTCGCGCGGCAGCCTCGCGAGCCAAATGCCTCGGCTGGTGTGGACGTGCCTCGGCCTGCCTCGGGCGCGCGTTTGCTCGACCGAGCACGGCTCGGCCCCGAGTCATCTGTTGTCGGTAAACTTGACGCGCTCAAAGGTGCCTCAGTGAGCGCTGTGCATTAGGTGGGGACGGTTATGTTTTTTTGCTCGCGCGCGAAGCTACTTCAAGTTTTGTCTCTTGCCGTATTTGTCTTCTGTAATTTTGATATCATGGGCATTCAGGAGGAGTCCATTCGCTTAATACAACTGTACAGCACGTACAACCCGGTCACAATATCTGTGCACCTCGCTGGAATGTGGCGCCTCTCCCGCTTCCCCTGTCACCTCTCCGCGCACTCCCCGGTGCGACAGTACGGTTAGCATCTTCGTTGCCGCTACACGTCACGATAATTTTGATATTTTCGCTTTATTGTTGTTTTGTTTTTTAATGTTTATTGTTAAGTTTAGACTGTTTACTGTTAAGTTTGGACTGGTTTGGTTGTTATTAAAATTGTTGTAGCTGTTAAACTGAAGTCATGGGAAAAACAATACACAGCGAATCAAGAAATTTAATCTTGAAAGTGCTCAAGTTTTTTGAATCGGAGAAAGCAAACAAACAGTACACCATACCTGTAGACCAAGTGGTGAAACGAACCTGTGCTGCAACTGGGATATCAAAGAGGACTCTAATGAAAATTAAAAATGAAGCCAGAGTACAACCACCTACTTCGCCGGGCGCTAGTCCGACTCCAAGTACTAGTAATAATTTAGAAACCCACCGAGAACCAAAATTATCGACACCGGGTAAGAAGCGTAAACAGTACAAAAAACGCATCGAAGTAGATGATTTTGACATTTGCGCAATACGAAATATCATCAACAGTTTTTATGCTGTAAAAAAAGAACTCTCAACTTTGAAGAAAATTCTGGCAGCAGTTAAGAGAGACCTAAATTTTCAAGGCGGGAGAACATATCTAAGAAATATTTTAATTAACAAATTGGGCTACAAGTTCAAAAAGTGTAAAAATATCCGCTGTGTATTGACACAAAAGCCGGACATCGCCGCATGGAGGGCTCGCTACCTACGCCGTATGAAAGAGAATAATGACCTTGGCGCTGATAAAAAACCGGTTACCTACCTGGACGAGACGTGGATCCATTCCCACTATACGGTCAGTAAATGCTGGCAAAATAATACCGACAGCAGTGTGAAGAAAAATTTAAATCCGGGTCAACGTTGGATTCTTGTACACGCTGGAGGAGAAAATGGATTTATTGAAGGTGCAGAATTACTTTATAAATGTAAAAGTAAAATCGGCGATTATCATAACGAGATGGACACAAACAATTTTTTAAAATGGCTCCGTGAAAAGCTTATACCAAATTTACCGCCGAACGGTTTAGTTGTCATAGACAATGCACCCTACCATTCGACGCAGTCGGTGAAAGCGCCCACTAGTGCTGCTCTTAAAGCAGACATGCAAAATTGGCTACGTGAACACAATATTCCATAAAATGACAAAGAGGGAATTGTATTCCATTATACTGAGAACAAAGCCGCCGAAAAAATATGTCGTCGACGATTTGATGCGAGTGCATGGCCAAGAAGTTGTGCGTCTGCCACCTTACCATTGTGACCTAAACCCTATCGAATATATATGGAACTTGGTAAAGCAAAGGGTGGCAGATAAAAACATTGACCAATCGGAAAAGAACATAGAACAACTTACAAAAGATGCGATTAAGTCAATTACGCCAGCTGACTGGAAAAAAGAAGTGAATCACGTGGAGAGACTACAGCGAGAATACTGGGAAAAGGATCATCTAGCAGATGACAACATCACACAACTTTTAATATCACTAGGGGAAGACAGTTCGGCGAGTTCAGAAAGTGAGAGTGAGGAAGATACAGGGTCCGGCAAAAAAACCTCCCCGGTTTGAGCAAGCCACCGCGTGAGTTGTAATGGGAGTAGAGATGTTGGGGGGTATTGTTTCGTAGCGGAGTACGTGCCATTTTAGTGTGCGTCATGGCTTGGCTCGGTGAGCATCGCGCGTTTGTTGTGGAGGAGTTTATTCAAAATGGCGGTTCTGTGATTTCTACTCAACGCGCGTTTCGGATTCGATTCGAACTTGGCCGACGTGATAGTGTTCCTGATGCGAAAACGATTAGACTGTGGGTGTCAAACTTTAGAGAAACAGGGTCAGCACTAAAAAGGAAACCACCTGGCCGACCTCGTACTGCAATAACACCGGAGAATGTGGCGCGAGTGAGAACATCCATCCAACAGTCTCCAAAGCGTTCAGCGGTTAAACATGCAGCTGCCCTGGGATTGTCAGAAAGGAGTGTTAGGAGAATTCTTTTTGGGACGGCTCTGCCAAGTACTTGCTCGATGCCCTAGATGGACTGCAGCGCTACGCCTTCCGTGTTGTCAACGATCCTCATGTAACTGAGCATGCGGAGTCGTTACAGCTTCGCAGAGATATAGCTTCTCTTAGCGTATTCTATCGCCTGTACCACGGTGAGTGCTCTGAAGAGTTATTCAACCTTATCCCTTCCTCTCCTTTCCATCAGCGGACCACCCGTGCCGGACTGCGTTGCCACAGTTGGACGGTCAGTTCAATACCGTCCCGCACTAAAAAGTTTGGCAATTCGTTCTTATGCCGAACCATCAAATTGTGGAACCAACTCCCGGCGCATGTATTCCCTCCCCTCTATAACATCGGGTCCTTCAAACGTAGTGTGAAGAAGCATTTGGCCAGACCGGCAAAATGATAGTGACGGAGTGAAGATATTTGTGTTTTCCATCCGTTACTCTCATCTCTGGACTGTATTCGCACTTTCCATCAGGCGCGGTGCAGTCATTTTGCCGAGTCACAATAAAAAAAAAAAAAAAAAAATTCTACATAAAGAACTTAATCTGCATCCCTACAAAATAATGGTTGCCCAAAAGTTGTCTGAAGAAGATTATGCAATTCGCAGGGCTGCATGTTATGACATTTTGCAAAACATTCCCCCAGATGCTGTCTTCATTTCTTCCGATGAAGCCCACTTCCACCTGTGTGGAACTGTTAACAAACAGAATTTCCGCTACTGGGCTGCAGAAAATCCGAGGGAACTCCACCAACAACCACTACACAGCCCAAAAGTCACAGTTTGGTGCACCGTTGCTGAATTTGGTGTGTGGGGACCGTACTTTTATGAAGAAGATGGACAAACAGTAACGGTCAATGCCGATCGCTATTGTCACATGATAGAGACATTTCTCGGACCCAAGATCAACCAGTTTGTTTTAGACCATGAGGAAGAAGAAGTTTGGTTCCAGCAGGACGGAGCCACAGCTCACACTGCTCGGCGGCCCATGGAAATGTTAAAAGAGTTGTTTCCTGGACGTCTTGTTTCTTTAAGAGGAGACATTTCCTGGCCCCCAAGGTCACCCGACTTATCACCTTGTGATTTCTTTCTGTGGGGCTACCTAAAGGCTGAAGTGTACAAACATCGTCCCAGAACTCTGCAAGAATTAAAAGATGCCATTAGGCAGGAAGTGGCAGCCATTCCAAGGGAAGTTACACGAAGAACTATGGACAACTTCAGGGAAAGACTTCGTGAATGTCTTAACAATGGCGGACATCATTTATCGGACATAATTTTCAAAACCAAGTAAAGTGTACTAAGTGATGTAAAATGGCATTATATAGGCTACTCACAAATATACGTAATTGTTCTGTTTGTTTTTTATTCTCTTTGCAAATGCCTATTGAAATCAGGGAGGTTTTTTTGCCGGACCCTGTACAATGTCAGGCATAGAGTCAATAATTTATAGTGACTGAGTTTAATAATAAATGTTTTTGTAATCAAAATTATTGTTTTTTTAATAACAAACCCTTCATCAATAATAAATTGATTTGAAAAGGTTAGTAAATTTTTTTTACATCCACATTTCTCGAAAAAACTTTTTTTCACACCGTACCCAGACCGCCGATGTGACGTCACGAGGTCAGGTGCACAGATATTGTGACCGGGTTGTACAATGCGCTTTGGGACCCCAAAGATCCAAAATATTTAAGCAAAAATCAGCGGGAAGACAATTGGCGGCAAATATCTGCTCAAATTAATATGACAGGAAGTGAAAAACAAAATGGTGTCCTTGTGTGGTTCTTATCGTCGAGAGAAAAGCAGGGAGAAAAAAAGTCGCATAACAGGTTCAGGTACGCATTTTTGTACTTAAAAATATGAACTTACAAATTATTTGATAAAATAATTACTTATTATATACTAATTAAATTGAAGAAAATTTATTTATACAATTAAAATATTTTAAATTATGGAAATATAAATTTTATTTTTGTTCTGTTTCAGGCGCTGCAGATGTTTATAATTCGAAGTGGTTTGGATATCCTTATTTCCATTTTCTTAAGGATAAAAATGAAACTGGTGACACTAAGGAAACGGTGCCGAATGTAAGAATTTTTAACTATGCATAATGATTTTGAAACGGTATAGAACCATTAGTTATAAAATGTTCTGCCAAGTGCAACCGTATTTCTTTTGCGTTATTAGAACTACGCCTTGGAAACGCTGCAATGGGTGCAAATGTAACTTCATTTATTTCATTTCTCCATTGGCCAGGAATCAGTGCGCCATCAAGTTCTCTGTGAAACAATTCCGGTGAAATAAGATTAGTTGAAGTATTTTTTCGGATGTAGTTGTACAAATATACAGCTGCTAAGACGACCTTTGTTGCTTTATTTGGCTCTAGTAAGATAGGTTTTCTAAAAACGCGAAATATGCCACTTAATATACCAAATGCATTCTCAACGACACGTCGAGCTCGGCTAAGGCGATAATTAAATATTCTTTCTTCAGAACCATTTTCTGTGTTGCCCTCAAATGGTTTCATGGTATATTCGTTGAGTGCAAAGGCTTTATCGGATAAAATAAAATAAGGAACTTTTGTTACATATGGTATTTCCAATATCTTCTCTTCAGGCAAGTTCAATTCTTTCTTTTCTAGCTTTTTATACAACGTTGTGTTTTTAAAAACACCACCATCAGAGATTCGCCCTTTGCTACCAACATTTACATACAAAAAATTGTAGCTACATAAACTAATCCAAAAAGCACGATGCTTGGAAATTGTTTGTAATTAACATAATCAGTGCCACTGTTAATCGGTGCCTGCAACATAACATGTTTCCCATCCATCGCTCCAATAGCGTGGGGAAAATTCCATTTATTTTCAAATTCTTTTGATATAGCAAGCCACTCTTCTTCTGTAGATGGGATCTGTAAAAAAAATTATAGAGTACTCAGCATGACAGGACCCTCCCCTGTTTGAAAGTATTCAGACTAAACGTATTTGGCCCCTATGAGTGGTTGTATTAGGTACTATACACCACTCCATATTTGGCCCGTTTTAGTGGTAGTCCGAAGACGTTCAAGCAATGGAGAATCCTGCTAGAAAAATATTTAAGATATCGCTACTAAGGTACTTGAAGGTATTAAATACTACGGACGTTAAACTTTAGCTTCCAATCGGATTAAACGTAGGGTCCTGCCACATTATATACACATTCACATTGCACCACAAATTGATCTATTAATTAAAATTATGTTTTCAGGAGGCAATACCGGAATCTTCACAAACTTCTGACGTAGAGAGACACACGGAGACTGAAAACGCTCCGACCAAGTCGCAATTGCCGGAGGCTAGCATCGAAGAAGCGCCACCACAACAACAACAAGACCTAGCCTCGGAAGCTAGCATGCCCTCACATAAGAACCTGCTCGTAAAAAAAAACGACATAATCCGAAGAAAACGCAGCCACAGGAAGATTCGGCAGATATCATGCTCGGCAAAAGTCTTCGACCGACATCACCGATCCATACTCTTCATTTGGAAGACACATAGCCAACGAGCTAAGAAAATATGATCCGCACACATTAGCGTATGTTAAGAACGCTATCAATAATATAATTTTTGAAGCCGACATAGGGAATACACACAACAACAAATTAATACAGGATACTATACACCTACAATGGACTCATCTGGCACTTCATCATCAGCATCACATACCGCTACGTCTTCTCATGCCATTACACCATCACCTAATGCCAATGTTGGATTCGAAACTATCACTGAATTGTAATTAAAATAAACAATTGATTTTTAAATTTGTGAAATTATTTTTATTTACCTTTACATAATCACTTAAGGCTTCAATAATAGCGTCACAAACTTCTGGAACTATTCTTGAGATACTCTGCTTCGATACTCGAAATAGATATTGCAAGCTGCTATAAGAATCTCCGGTTGCTAAAAATCTTAAAGTTATTAAAACTCGTTCATTCACAGTGATTGCTTCTCTATATTTTGTATCGCACTTTTTGATTTTATCAGACAACAATGAGCACAAATTTTCGAACTCTTGTACGGACATTCGTGTAAAATTATGTACAGTCTATATATATACAGTCTATATATATATATACTAAATCTCCAAGTAATCTGTT